GTTCCGGGAACGAACTCGACACGCGCGCGCGGCCGACACGCACGAGCGGCCCGCATGGCGTTGTTAGACAGTGACCGTGCCCCCCAGCACGCGCGCAAGAGCGTTTTCATGATTTCGGTGCGCGGCCCGAGAGGATCGTTTGGCCGATTCGGATGCACAGCTTGGCAAACCGATGGTTTTCTCTGGATTCGCAAGAGCGCGCGAAGACCTCGTTTTGAAAATTGATGCTGCAAAATCATGCGTTTTCCATAAGCTTTTGGGGCATTTGATCGCGAAGCCATTTCGAATGCTACGCGAAGGACTTCGGCATGCGCGCGAGACGACGCGGGAGCGTGTTTGTTCGACCCGCATCTGCGAAAAATCGCGCGACACCAAGCGCGCGGGGGCCGTCGAACGAGTCCGACAGGCACGCGCGGGAGGCCCGTTTGGTCGCATGCGATGCAGATGTTGAGAAACGCTTGGGTTTCTTAAGGAATCGCGAGAGCTCGAGAGGTTCGTTTTGAAATCCACGGTTGCGAAACCAGTTTACGGCGCGCTCGATTCTGACATGCTGGCGGGACCTGAGGTTTTGAGATGATTGCGGCGCGCGCGCACGACGACGCGCGCGCGCTATCCGCCCCATCTTTCGCAAGTAGTTGTTGACAACTGATGAGTTTCGCTGAACGCGTGCACGCGCATGGGATTTGTTTCCTGGCGATGGGGGGGGGGGCGATAGGGGGGCGCTTGGGATGGCGCGACTTCATAATGAGATGGACGACGGGGCAACCACACATGCAATTAGCAACGCCAAAAGGCGGGCCGCCAAGTCTGGGGGGAGAAGAGATTTCAACATTCTCCCAGAAAGGAGAACCGATGCAGGGCATTCCTTGCGGCGCAAATGAGTTTCACGAACGAGCTGACGCGCTCTATGCTCGTGCAAACATCCCACCCACCCACCCGCAACTTGGTTTGCACATCCAATGCGGCGGCGATTGCGGTGAGTGCTTGGCGTTGGATGGCGCGTCTCTGCGGCCGCGCTAGCCCGCGCATGCTCGCGCGAACAGCGGCCAGCTTGTTTGGCGAGGCCGACGCGGCCGCGGTGGCGCTGACTGCTGGGCGCGCCCCAGCGGGCACTTCAGTGCGAGTCGGTGACTTTGGCTGGCGCGGTATCATGGCGAGGCCGACAACGGCAGACACGATAATGAGGGCAGCGATGACGGCGACGACGATGACGATGCCACCACGTCGGCGACGAAGGTTCTTGAAGGAGTTCGACATGACATGCGCGCGTGGCCGACGCGCGCTAGTGCCCCGCGTGGCATTTTTTGACACGGATCGCGCTCCCCCCCCCCCTCTCCTCCAGCACGCGCGCAAGGGCGCTCGAATGAGTTCGACACGCGGTGCGAGAGGCCCGGCTGGCCGAACTTGCATGGCTTGTTTCAGAAATTGTTGCTGCAAAACCATATGTGTTTTTATAATTGTTTTCGGGACACTTGTTTATGACGTTCTTGGGAAACCGAAGGCTGTTCTTAAGGATGTGGATGCGCGCGCGACGACGCGCGCGCGAAAGGCGCCCCATTTTTCGCAAGGGGCACTTGCGACAGCACGCGCTCGAGGGCGTTCGAGCGATTTCGATGCGCGCGCGAGAGGCCCGTCTGGTAGCATGTCATCAAGATTTCGAATAGAAAACAACAAAAACAAATATACAAAATAGGAAACACATTAGCCTGGCGAAGGACCCAACCATATGCGACTGTGAGTACCGTCGTTGTGAGTATCGCAATCGGTGGAGATCCCTGTGGGCCGCGAAAGGCTGTCCTGGGTAGGGGAGACGCATGTGAGTGCAGCAACTGTTGCCTTCGGTGGAGCTCCCTATGGGGCCACGAAACGCTGTCCTGGGTGGGTGGAGAGGCATGCGAACTGCGCCACTGGGACCCTCGGTGGAGCTCCCTGTGGGGCAACGAAACGATGTCCTGGATGGGGGAGACGCATGCGAGTGCAGCTGTGGCCTTCGGTGGAGCTCCACATGGGGCCACGAAGCGCTGTCCTGGATTGGGGAGACGCATGCGAACTGCGCCACTGGGACTTCAGTGGAGCTTCCTTATGGGGCTACGAAAGGTTGGCCTGGGTGGGGGAGACGCATGCGAACTGCGCCACTGGGGCCTTCGGTGGAGCTCCCTATGGGGCCACGAAAAGCTGTCCTGGGCGGGGGAGGCGCATGCGAACTGCGCCACTGGGACCCTCGGTGGAGCTCCCTATGGGGCCACGAAACGTTGTCCTGGGTGGGGGAGACGCATGCGAACTGCGCCACTGGGGCCTTCGGTGGAGCTCCCTATGGGGCCACGAAACGTTGTCCGCATGCGAACTGCGCCACTAGGACCCTCGGTGGACCTCCCTATGGGGCCACGAAACGCTGTCCTGGGTGGGGGAGACGCATGCGAACTGCGCCACTGGGGCCTTCGGGGCCACGACACGCTGTCCTGGATAGGGGGAGACGCATGCGAACTGCATTACTGAGACCCTCGGTGGAGCTCCCTATGGGGCCACGAAACGCTGTCCTGGGTAGGGGGGACGCATGCGAACTGCGCCACTGGGGCCCTCGGTGGGGCTCCCTATGGGGCCACGAAAAGGCTGTCATGGGTGGGGGAGGCGCATGCGAACTGCGCCACCGGGGCATTCGGTGGAGCTCTCTATGGGGCCACGAAACGTTGTCCTGGGTGGAGGAGACGCATGCGAACTGCGCCACTGGGACCTTCGGTGGAGCTCCGTATGGGGCCACGAAACGCTGTCCTGGGTGGGGGAGACGCATGCGAACTGCGCCAATGGGGCCTTCGGTGGGGCTCCCTATGGGGCCACGAAACGCTGTCCTGGATGGGGGAGACGCATGCGAACTGCGCCACTGGGGCCTTCGGTGGAGCTCCCTATGGGGCCACGAAACGCTGTCCTGGGTAGGGGGGACGCATGCGAACTGCGCCACTGGGACCCTCGGTGGGGCTCCCTATGGGGCCACGAAACGCTGTCCTGGGCGGGGGAGGCGCATGCGAACTGCGCCACTGGGACTTCGGTGGAGCTTCCTATGGGGCCACGAAACGTTGTCCTGGGTGGGGGAGACGCATGCGAACTGCGCCACTGGGGCCTTCGGTGGAGCTCCCGATGCGGCCACGAAACGCTTTCCTGGGTGGGGGAGACGCATGCGAACTGCGCCACTGGGGCCTTCGGTGGGGCTCCTCCCTATGGGGCCACGAAAAGCTGTCCTGGGTGGGGGAGACGCATGCGAACTGCGCCACTGGGACCCTTGGTGGAGCTCCCTATGGGGCCACGAAACGTGTGAGGGGTGCGCCGTGAGCTGAGGCAACGAGGGAGAGGAGGGCGGAGGGAGGAGGCAGCGGGAGGAGGAGGAAGGAAGGAGACGCGGGGCACCGTCTCTTCAAAACGAGGACCTAACACCACAGGATGGTTGGGAACAAAACAACCAAAAAATGTCTTCTTTAGAATTCGCAAGAGCGCGGGCGCATGCTTTTGAGGGAAAATCCGCAATGCGAAACCACGCGTGCGCGTGCATATATATATATATATATATATATATATATATATATATATATATATATATATATATATATATATTCGGGCCACTCGACTTTGAAATTATTTCGAAACTGATGGTTTTGGGTACAATTTTGGCAGGTGGGCGCGACGACGCGCGCGTGTTCATTTCGTCCAATTTTTCCGTTTGTGCAAGGAGAACATTGGACATAGATGGTTTTTGATACACGAGCGTGCGCGCGTCATTGCGTCTGTTGGGGATGAGAGGGAGGCGATACCGGCCTGCCAGGGATGTTATGAACCTAAATTGTGAAGAGCTGACGGCCGGTGCCGCCGACCGCGGAAGAGGAGGAGAAGGAGGAGGACGCGGAGATGAGGAGGAGGAGGAGAAGAAGGAGGAGGAGAAGGAGGAGGAAAAGGACTCCCCCCTGGGGCCCCCCCCAAGGGAGGGGGACCGGAGGAGGACCGGCGTGGGAGAAGGGAGGGGGGGGGAAGAAGACCCCCGGTGTGAGGAGGACCCCAAAGGCGATGCGAATTTGACCCCCTCCCCCCCCGGGACCCCCCTTCCCGCTGGGGAGGGGACAAACGGAAGGGGCTTCCCTTTGACATAATGAGGACGAGGATGGAATTCCCTCAAGCTGCGAACCCGTTTTCCGAACGAGGAAGGGTGCTTTTTGTCTTTCTCCCCCGACGGGAGAGGAGGATGGGAAGGAAGGGACGAAAGAAGGCTCCCCGTCGACGGGACCGGACAGACCCCCCACACGCGCCGACAGGGTCGGCGGATTCAAGATGGACGATGGGGCAGAACCGTTTGCAAATTGCAGCACGAAAAGGTTTACTGCTAGACCCAGGAGGGCGCGGGGGGGGGACCCTCGTGCTGTGCGGCGGCGGCGAGGCGGCAACGGACCGGCAACGGCGAGAACGGGGCCGCCAGAGAGGCACCCCGGCCCAGTTCCTTACGACAAAGAAGTAAGAGCCCCTCCAACGCCTCCTCCTCCTCCTCCTCCTCCTCCTCCTCCTCCTCCTCCTCCTCCTCCTCCTCCTCCTCCTCCTCCCCTATGTGCAAGCACCGTTTAGGGAAAATCGTCGGAAGTCCGCGCTCGTTTCTTGGGGCGGCGCTGGGCCTTCTGGCGGCGCCCTCGGCGCTGCCCATGCCCGACCCAAGGAATCCCCGCGGACCTTCGGAAGTCCATGTATACGCAGTGTTGCCATTATGTTTCAGTCGTTTCTTCTCCCAAATGCTTGTAAGAAATATCAGTATTAGAGTTGGGCTTGTTTTCCGAATTGTATCATATAAATATTAGCTTCGTCTTTGTTGTGATTAGAGTGGCTTCCAATGATGTCATCAACTTTTCAGAGGCGACCCAGATGGCATCAGGATCACCCCTCACGACGCCCAGCGGGCCCCCAGGGGAGTCCAAAGTGGCGCGAGGGGTTGGGGGCACCTTGGGCCAGGACCACCTCTGGCAACCTCCGAGGTGGGTTGTCTTCGCGGATGGATGGGCTCTCCGGGAAGTCCGCAGTGGGAGCCGCAGAGAAAGAGAACCAGCTGCAGAATCGCGACCAGTTTTTTGCTTGCTGGCGGAATGCAGACGTTACGTTGAGCGAAGAACCTCCCAGTGGGCATCCGTCACGTTTTGACTGCACTGTGGATGCGCGATGCTGGATGAGCGCTGGAATCCGAGCCAGGTCGCCAAATAAGAAGGAACGTTTTTTCTACCTGTCCCTCCTTTTCCTTCCCTGGCTCATCCTTCTTCTCACCCTCCTCCATGCCCTACCCGTCCTCATCATACCTCCTCCTCCTCATCCATCATCCCTCCTCTCCGCCTCCTCGGCCTCCTTGTCCAACTCCTCCCTCCTGCTGGTTCCCAACTCAGGACGTGGCGGGTAAGCATTGAGTTGACCGCCAGTTTGGTGATCATCGAGTTGCCCGCCGTTGTATCCGTTGAGCTGTCCATTAGAACAGACGTTCCCCAGTCAGTGCTGGCACCGCAGGCGGTCTCGGGGATGTTGTAAGGATTTGGTGAAAGACTGTCGCTGTTTCCGATAGGTGGCCAGGTTCCCGGAATCCCAGTTCCAGGTTTTTGGGTTCTTGGGTTCATGACGGCGGTTTGGCTCCTTGGACCGAGGCAGATTAGAGAGTAGTGGTGCAGAGGGCAGAGCGTTCGTGGCAGACAGCAGAGTGTAGAGGAGGCGAGTGCGGAGAGCAGAGGTTGGAGAGGGCAGGGTGGAGTGTAGACACAAAGTGAAGAAATGAGATTACATGGTACCGAGCACAAAAAAACGCAGTGGGCACCATTTGTTCAAAAACATTGCATGCACGCTGTCTTAACATCACCAGCAGGAGCAAGTTCTTTGAGCTTTCTTGTCCACCATATAGGCTTCGGCAGGGTTTCGCGCACTGAATGAGATATACAAAGTCGCCGATCGCGTAATCTCACCGACCATGTAAGCATCGCTTGTTGGACCTATTGTACTTGATGCTGTGGCATGTTGTGGGTCATGGTAGCATGGCCATTGACTCGATCGCCATTCGATTGCCACTGTGGTGATTAATGTGTTGTCCATCGGTGCAGTGACGTTCGTATTGGCAGCCATTGCATTGGCCATGTTGTTGCCCACCATTGCAGACCCGACGGGGGCCCTGCCACCGCACTTGGGCAAGCTCGTCGTCCTTCCAAATAACTCTCATCTGTCGCACCCCGAGGCGTGTCGGTAGGGCGGGCCGGGCGTTCCGCTTGAGACGTCTTCGCATTTTTGATATGATCTTGGAGCTTGAAGTTTGCAACAGTTTCAAGGGTGGAGGACGGGTCGTTTTCAAAATGTGGCCCTCTCTTTCGCGCCGCGCGCTTCTTTTTTTTTGTCGCGGCGGCTTGGCACCAGGCCGCGGTCGGGGCAACCGAGGGGCACAGCGGGCCCGAATTAGGCACGACAGGAGCGGGAAGAGCGCGAAAGAGGGACGGGAGCCCGCGGGAGGAACACGCTCAGAGCATGAAGTTATTGTGCGCGAGGGCCAGCGCACAGGGGCGCTAAGAGGGCGTCGATGGCGATCACGGAACCAGGAAGCGCGGGGATGCCCGGGAGCCTCAGCACCAGGAGATTGCGTATGCAAGTCATGCGGAGGACAGTCCAAAAGCAAGGTCATATTTGGGACCAGGGAAAAGACCACACGTGACGCTGCGAGTTGAGCGATGAGCGAAGACCAACGGCCCAGGGCAGTGAGATCTCCACAGCAGGCAATCAAATCAGTGACGGTTATGGCCAAGCCCAACTGGAGCGAGAACCAAGTCGGACACAGGGTCCAACCGCACGACGGCGGGGTCCTGGCAGTGCACGGCATAAAATTAGGGGAACGAAGAATGGCACCAACATAATTAGCCTGGCGAAGGACCCAACCACATGCAGTTGTGAGTACCGTCGTTGTGAGTATCGCAATCGGTGGAGATCCCTGTGGGCCGCGAAATGCTGCCCTGGGTAGGGGAGACGCATGTGAGTGCAGCAATTGTTGCCTTCGGTGGAGCTCCCTGTGGGGCCACGAAACGCTGTCCTGGGTGGGTGGAGAGGCATGCGAACTGCGGCACTGGGGCTTTCGGTTGAGCTCCCTGTGGGGCAACGAAACGCTGTCCTGGATGGGGGAGACGCATGCGAGTGCAGCTGTGGCCTTCGGTGGGGCTCCCTATGGGGCCACGAAACGCTATCCTGGATTGGGGAGACGCATGCGAACTGCGCCACTGGGGCCTTCGGTGGAGCTCCCTATGGGGCCACGAAAAGCTGTCCTGGGCGGGGGAGACGCATGCGAACTGCGCCACTGGGACCATCGGTGGAGCTCCCTATGGGGCCACGAAACGTTGTCCTGGATGGTTGAGACGCATGCGAACTGCGCCACTGGGGCCTTCGGTGGAGCTCCCTGTGGGGCCACGAAAAGCTGTCCTGGGTGGGGGAGACGCATGCGAACTGCGCCACTGGGACCATCGGTGGAGCTCCCTATGGGGCCACGAAACGCTGTCCTGGGTGGGGGAGACGCATGCGAACTGCGCCACTGGGGCCTTCGGTGGGCTCTATGGGGCCACGAAACGTTGTCCTGGATAGGGGGAGACGCATGCGAACTGCGCCACTGGGACCTCGGTGGAGCTCCCTATGGGGCCACGAAACGCTGTCCTGGGCGGGGAGACGCATGCGAACTGCGCCACTGGGGCCTTCGGTGGGGCTCCCTATGGGGCCACGAAAAGGCTGTCCTGGGTGGGGGAGACGCATGCGAACTGCGCCACTGGGGCCTTCGGTGGAGCTCTGTATGGGGCCACGAAACGTTGTCCTGGATAGGGGGAGACGCATGCGAACTGCGCCACTGGGACCCTCGGTGGAGCTCCATATGGGGCGACGAAACGCTGTCCTGGGCGGGGGAGACGCATGCGAACTGCGCCACTGGGGCCTTCGGTGGAGCTCCCTATGGGGCCACGAAACGCTGTCCTGGATGGGGGAGACGCAAGCGAACTGCGCCACTGGGACCCTCGGTGGAGCTCCCTATGGGGCCACGAAACGTTGTGGGTGGCGCACTGGGACTCGGTGGAGCTCCCTATGGGGCCACGAAACGCTGTCCTGGGGGGAGACGCATGCGAACTGCGCCACTGGGACTTCGGTGGAACTTCCTATGGGGCCACGAAACGTTGTCCTGGATGGGGGAGACGCATGCGAAGTGCGCCACTGGGGCCTTCGGTGGAGCTCCCTATGGGGCCACGAAACGTTGTCCTGGGTGGGGGAGACGCATGCGAACTGCGCCACTGGGATTTCGGTGAAGCTCCCTATGGGGCCACGAAAAGCTGTCCTGGGTGGGGGAGACGCATGCGAACTGCGCTACTGGGACCCTCGGTGGAGCTCCCTATGGGGCCACGAAATATTGTCCTGGGTGGGGGAGACGCATGCGAACTGCGCCACTGGGCCCCTAGGTGGAGCTCCCTTATGGGGCCACGAAACGTGTGAGGGGTGCGCCGTGAGCAGAGGCAACGAGGGAGAGGAGGGCGGAGGGAGGAGGCAGCGGGAGGAGGAAGGAAGGAGACGCGGGGCACCGTCTCTTCAAAACGAGGACCCAATACCACAGGATGGTTGGGAAAAACTCTGAGGTCCGCGCGGATTCTCGGATCCGCGCTGCACCCCCCTGGCGGCGCCTCCGGCGCCGCCCCTGGCGCGCTCCGCGCGTCAAGGCGGGGGGTCCCACGCCGATCCGAGAAATCCGCGCGGACCTCCGAGGTTTGTTATGTTTCTGTCATTGCTCATGGCTCGCTTCCCCAAAGACGAGCGTGGCGAAGGGCACACCGTCGGGTCTCAGGAGGGGAACAAACACACAGACACAATGAATCGTCGATCCCCCAGACGATGTGGAGAAGATGGGGAGTGTGGGGGAAGAGACACCCAGAAGATCTGGAAAAAGATAGGGGGAATCGGGCTACTTGTGTCTGTTTTTTTTGCGTGTCCCAGTTCCCCTTTCAGGGTCGTGGAGAGACCGTTGCAGATCGTGCCGCCCAGCTTCCCGGGGCGGCAGCCGGGCTGGGCAGGGCCGCACAGCGCCGGAGCCGCGGGGGGCAACCCGAGGGCTGCGGGTGCGCCGACGCGTGAAGCGGCACCAGCGGCCGCGCACGGCGCTGCGGCCCGCGGGGGGAGGGGAGGGGAGGAGGAGGGAGGGGGGAAGAGGAGGAGGGGGAGAGGCAAGCTAGGTGCGCTCGCGTCATATCTGACATCCTACCCCTCCCTCCCATCCCTTACCATGGCGCAGATCCCCTCTCTACTCGCTCAGTCGGATGTCGAGCAGGGCAATGATCCCGAAAGGGTACGCGATGCATTGCAGAGCACGGCATGGCATGGCGTAGAAGAATACCGCAAAGCGTAGTATCAACCTAGCATTGCAATGCATGCCGTGGCATGGCACGGGAAATGACGCCAGCGTTGCAGCGGGAGCACGAGTCGAAATGAGCGGAAGCGCGGAAATGAGGCCAGCGTTGCAGCGGGAGCACGATTCGGAACGAGCGGAAGCACGGAAATGAGGCCAGCGCTGCAGCGGGAGCACGATTCGGAACCAGCGGGGCCCGAAAATGAGGCCGGCGCCCCAGCGAGAGCAGCATTTTGGAAAAAAATGCAGGCGAAAACCCAACTCCGGGGAAACTTGCGTGTAAAAAAACAATACGCGGGGGGAGGGGGAGGCCTCTTTCAAACCGTCATCAGGGGAAGAGGGAGAGTAGTATTCATATTGAGTAATTGTGGAGGGGAGGGCGAGGGGGGGGGAGGGGAGGGAGGAGGAGGGAGGAGAGGAGAGGAGGAGGGAGGGGAGGGGAGGAGGGGAGAGGGAGGGAGGGGGAGGGCAGGGGAGGGGGAGGGGAGGGGAGGAGGAGGTAAGGCGAGCGAAGAGGGGGAGGAGGAGAGAGGGGCGGGGCGCGGAGGCTCCGCGTCGTCGGGGTCCACAAAGACCAGGGGGGCAACGTGGGGGAAGTGCCAGGGGAGCCGAAGGCCCAACCGGCGGCGAGAGATGGACGCGGAGCACGCAGCCAACAGCACGCACGAGGTTGATTCACGCAGCGAGGTGGGATGAGGGACGGGGACTGCGAGCCCAGGGACGTCGTGGCCAAAGCGGCCCGCACAGCGTGGAGAGGGCGCGGGACGGGGGTCTGCGCGGTGCCAGCAGGCAGGACACTGCGGCGCGGTGCGAGGTGCCGAGAAGCCACGTGTCCGCG